ACCTGTCACTTTGCTAAGTTGTAACTCTGTACTGATGATGCCGACTACGATGCCGGCGAAATGTATCAATTCAATGGTCCGATACTGGATATCACGAATATTTTGGTAGAGGACACATGACTATGTACTTTCTCTGACGCCCTGACCAAGTTGCGAACAAGGTCGAGCCACCACTACAAGCTAAAGGAGACTGCGACCAAATAGATGACCACACCACCTTGGTCCTTACATCTACGATCTAGAGTAATTAATTTATCTATCGAAATATGTTTAATAGACAGATATTTGCAATTGTCGTAAGGTCTTTTAGTTCGGTAATAAGTGTTACCTTTCAAATGAAGCATAATTAATTGGCGAAAGTTATAAGAACTTGTCTTTAAGAATGAATGAGCCGTAGCAAAATAAATAGGCTTTCTTATTTTATTTTATCTATGACCTATTATATCATAGCTGTGGGCCCAAAGTCTAGTGGGAAATGTATCTTAAATTTATATGCTATATTCTTTTCTAAAGCATTTTAAGATTGAGGTTAATCTCCTGTAGGTGATTTTCTCTACAAGTACGAGGTAAAAGACGTCTTTTTGCCTGTAAACTCACTTTTTTAAGAGATTAACATGAAATCATGGTGTAAATAAAGGATATTTCATCTGGTTGCCTAAATGGCAGTTGAATGCAGCAAGATAGAACATAACTATCATCCTACTCATTTTTGTCCTGTGTGAAGTATGATAAGCTCCATAGATCAATCTCACTAGACAGATACGCTTAGTTCTAGGTTTACTCGAATTAATGCGAATGCCTAACCATTCCAGTAAAAAACGATATTAAAATTAGGGAATGCCCTTAAGTATTCTGATGTAATCAACCTACTTAAGTATTCATCATTTTATCAAAATCAACCCAACACGTTTATGATGGGCGTGTTATCGTGATACAGTTAAAGCAAAAGAAACCTCAAAGGTAGAATACCAACTCAATTCTTATCCTTTGGACTTCTAATAAAAGCTCAATTTGCATTACTTGAACTGTTTCATACGCGTTGCTATTTAGTATTTTGCTCAGGATGCACAACATTTTCTCCTCCCGCATGTAGATACCATTTTAACCGACACATTACTTTTGTCTTTCAATTTTTAATTGACTAAGTTTCGGAACTCAGATCGTGTTATATAATAGAATTTAAGGGTAAAATCATTAAGGGATCATCGAAATTAAACTATCCAGGCTTTTGAGTGTAGGACAACAATCCCATTAAGCTAAGCATTTGCCATGGCAGGTGTTCAGTTAAACAGGGCCAGATAAAACCATTTGGTCTCGACAACTGTGCATAAACTCACGGGTTTCTGGTTTGGGTAGTCCGACCGAATGCAATGCCCTGATGAAATTTGAGTCGTCCTTCTGCAGCAATGACAGAACCTCCTTCCCCATCCTCGTCATGATGCGCATGCTGGCAACAACGTACGGCGAGTCAGTCAACTCGATTCCCACTTTAGAAATGGGACCTCCAATAGGACCCATGCTGAACGGGATGACATACATTGTTCTACCTTGACTCGGAATAAATAGAGATACAATAAACAGAAGCAATGGCTGGGTTCAATCCTAAATATCGCCAAGTTACCAGCTCCAACTCACCCACTAAGTATTACGTTTAGAAAAAATGACTTTACTTTGAATTGGTTATATAATAACACATTTACTATTGGGCATTGAGCCAAAGTTTACTGATC